CAGTTGGCCAGGTAGCTGTCCTCCAAATCTCTTGGCATAACTGAGTGAGCGCCTCCAATGGGGCATCTGTTTGTTGAAATATCTCAATCAGTATGCCATCAATTCCCGGAGCCTTGTTCTTCGCCAGTTCTTTCATTGCAGCTTTGACTTCTTCCTTCATTACCATTTTCTTTGTTCCAGAGAGGAGAGACCAACTGTTGCATCTGGATGGCTGCCTGCAAGCTTTTAAGACCCTAATTGCTACTCTCCAAAGTAGGATGTAGAACAATGTTTTTGTGTAGTATGTGGTGCCAATTGAGATTGATGCCCCCGTGACCATGATCCCAAGCCTACAGGTCCAACAACTTGCTCCCTCAAGGTGCTTGGTTGTGGCTATGCTATCGTAACTTTGTCCCATTAGTCTTATTTACATGAACATTATTACAGCACATACAAATACGTATGTAGAAATATCACCTGCCAACCTTATATATGGTCATGGGTTTATTCCCTTTTGCCTAGACTTATCTGATCATTCAGCCTGTCTACCTATGTATCAACCCATAGATTAGTTTATTACTGATAATGCAGTATTGTATACATCAAAGTGTTTATCACTGTTGTACCTGTTGTTCAGGTTTCTGGTCTTCCTTTTCCTTAGTGTTACTGTATTGGTCACTTGCTTTTGGTATATTGCCTTTCCCTTCACCCAATCAATACTTCTGTTTTAACTATCTAGCAATGTTCCCTCTCTTCCTCTCCCATCCATGGTAATCAACAAAGAAATTTCCTTCCATATATAAACCTTTCCTTGACTTTTTAAAATAGTGGACTAATACGGTATCTACCCTTCTGTGATTATTTCATCCAGCATAATGTCTTCCAAGTTCATACATGGTATGCAGTGTTTTGTGGATTCTACATTATTATTTACTATTGCATAGTAATTCATTGGATGTACATATCAGAATTTGGTTATCCATTCCTCCATTAATGGGCACTTAGGTTGCTATTTTCAATAGTGCTTCAGTGAACATGAGTGTGAATATATCTATTCATGTCCAAGTACTCACTTCTTTAGGATATATACCTAGTAATGAGGCTGCTCAATCAAATAATACTTCTAACTTTGTAAGGAATCTCCATGCTGATTTCCACAGTAGTTTCCACAGCATTTTACAGTCTTACCAGCAGTGTTCTCATGTTGTTGCTATGTGCCGTCGAGTCAGTCCTGACTCATAGCGACCCCTCTTTAGGTTTCTGAGGTGGTTTCACTATGGAAGTAGATCGCCCAACCTTCCTTCTGAAGAGTGGCTGGTGGGTTTGAACCACCAGCCTTCTGGTTAGCAGTCAAGTGCCTGAGACACTATGCTACCAGAGGAGATAATAGACATGTAAAAGAAAAATCACGTAGGGTTTTGAGAAAGGTGAGAATGCTTAGAAAAGCACTTTATAAAGTCCCAAGAACATAGTAAGCACTCAACAAATACTCCTAGCATACCCATCAAACTACTCTGGCAGGTCACTACTCTCCTAACCCACTATCCCAAGGTAGGGGTTATTTTGTAAATTGGAGAAGATTAGATTAGCATAACAACACACCTATTAGAGATATAGCGTGTGATTGATATTATCAAGAAAATGATTTATCTTGTACATGTTTTCATTAAGGTTGAGCAAACTGTTTTCCTTTCTTCTTAGTCCTAGGCACAAAACAAACCAAAACGTAGACCCTCCCAGTGTCTTTTTTTCCCCAATTAATAAGATCAAACCAACTGACTATCAGTCAGAAGTAATTGGACTAGGGAGAGCAGGAATGGAGGAGGGAGGAGAGCAAAAATGGAGGGGTGAGGAAGCACTGGAAAAGGTAGGGAAACCAGAGAGGAATGACTTCTTGGAGTCATCTGAGTGGATTCAGTACAGTTTGGTTTCGGGTGTACAAATGGAGAACATGCTTAGCTGCTAAGCCAAGTGTTGGAAGCCCAAATCCACTCAGAGAAGCCTTGGAAGAAAAGCCTGGTGATTTACTTCTGAAAAGTCAGCCACTGAAAATCCTATGGAGCAAAGTTCTACTCTGACACATACAGGGTAGCCATGAGTAGGAGTCCACTCAACACCAACTGGTTGACTGGTACCCATCACAAAAGGGTTACATTCCTCAATATAAATGTAAGCAGTGGATTAATTCCTAACATTTGAAAGTAAAGTGCTTAAAGCACAGTAGAAAGCACATGGATACTGGAGTTACACATGGATGGACCAGGTCAAACTTGTACTCCATTTACTTTTACTGTGTGGCTTTTAGAGTCATTTAACTTACCTTAGCCAGGGAATTTGCTTCTATAAAGATTATATCCAAGAAAACCCTACGAACCAAGCAGTTCTACTCTGTCACATGGAGTCGTTGTGTGTCATCATCAATTTCACAGCACCCAACACCAAGGCTACAGAAATCCAGCTAACTTCTCCTTATATTAAGATTGTTATGAGAATTCGAGAATGAATGTAAAGCATATAGTAGGGATTCTGTTAAATACATTCCAAACCCCTCACCACTCCTTGCAACTCACCTAAAAAAAATAAAATTAGCACTCTGTAATTTAGTCACCATATGTTATATGCAATGGACGCTCTGATCACAGTTTACTCTTTTTAAAATTTTATTTAGAATGCCTACTTGTAGAAGTCAGCATAATTATACAGATCATTAAAAAATTCTTTTATCTCTGCAAACATTTATAATAGGTTAGGAATAATAGGTTAGAAATGTAATACATTACAAAACAATAACCTATGACTACTGTACATTTACTATGCACCTTAAGGAAAAGAATTTGACAGTGTGGTATACTTATACTGTAGATAACATACTTTTATTCTATTATCATACAAAACTGACCAGTGGTAGTGCTTGAATTTATAAATGGCCACCAAACAGGAGGTTTAACTTTGATACACAGTTAGCATGCTAAAAAAAAGAAAAAAATCAACTAAAATTCTGTGGCTCATCAGTTCAAATGTTCCATGCCACTTTCCTTTAAGTGAATAATGTTAGTATGATAATACTAAAATATTTTACATGATAAATGCAGAAGAATAAAATTTTCTAAATGTTTTAGAAAGCATATTCACATTCATTTTGTCATGGGTTTCTTGTGGCTCTTCTAAATATGTTAATCATATGAACAACGCACTGGTCCTATACAATTTTAACAGTCCATTTTCAATTAAAAGCTGTGACAAAAAGAAACAGTATGTTAAGACTACAAAAAGTAAATTAATATGTTAAATTCACACTGTAAGTATAACAAAATTAAACCAAATTATATAAATAATGGCAGGTTATATATTTTAAAAGATCTCTTTTCCACTTAGTTAAATATAATAGAAATTGAAATGTAAACTTACTAATTTCTGTGGAATTTTTCCCCATTGGTTCAAAATGAGAAATTTGGTATAAATTTTAAGTTTAGTATTTTATTTCTGTACATTAACATAATTCAAATAACCTGCAGTGTCATGTGGCTCATCAATAAGTCCACTATATGCCAAACAAAAGACAAAAACATTCATTCCTCACTTACTAGAAATACTAAACGCTGGAAAAACTGGATTTTAAACATTTGTTTTTTTAGATACCTAAGATATTCTCCAAAAAGTTAAAACTGCCTCCCATAAAATTTTGTGTATATGGCACAAGTTGACACCCAGAACAGTGTGAATTCCATCAAAAAGGCACTGTTTACAATACTCAGATAATTGGACAATCTATTTCAATGATGTCTGAGTGGTGAATGTATTTGAAATAGAGAAACACTTATAAAAGTACAGCATTATTGTTTGCTATATAAAAGGAAATAAAGTGACACAAAGAAATGACCTTTTTATGACAAGGCTATAAACACTTTGAATCGTATTTAAGTTCTGTAACATGAAAATGACACAAAAAAGATATGCTTAAAGGCACAGAAGCATGAATACTACATGAAAGTTCTATTTTACAAGGCCAACTTTTCAATGGAATGATGTTGTCAATTGAGCTGTGACAAAAATTACACTGTACCTTTATAAGTGATACAAAAAAGAGTGATATGAAATATAAGAAAAATATCTATTGCTGAAAATTATTTAATATTTCACATGCCGTATGTATTATCTTTTCCTATATCTAGAGTTACATCTCACTAAACAGTGGATAATTAAAGGCATAGTACATTTAATAGCTAAAAAAGAAATGCACATGTCAGTAATTAAATAAACTTTCATGTGAGAAAATAAAATTTTTTGATCAAATGAGAAAAAAAATGGTCATAAGGTCTTAAATCCTAGAAACCAGATAACTCGGAACTCTCAGATAACTAGGAACTAAATCATAATTTTTATGAATCCATGTGAAGAAAGATTACTCTCAGGTAAAAACACCCAATTCTATATTATGACTAAAGACAAAATTAATTACATGTTTTAAAGGATTCATACCCTAAGTGTAGTAGAAGCATTGATCCAGAACTAAACCACCAATTCCTGAGTTTTGTGTTCAGTTCACAGAAAGAATTCATACAGCTAAAAGCACAAGAAGGCTGTCACATATGTGCTTTTAAGTATATAAGAGTGAGTCATCACTAACTGTCTTAGTTATGTCATGCTGCTATAACAGAAAGAACATAAGTGGGTGGCTTTAACAATTAGAAATTCATTTTCTCATGGTTTAGGAGGCTAGGAGTCGGAATTCAGAGTGACATCTCTAGGACAGGGCTTTCTCTTACTGGGCTCTGGAGGAAGATCCCTGTCTCTTCTGAGCTTCTCCTTCTAGGCAATCTTCATCTGGCTTGTTATCTCTCTTCCCCATCTTTGCTCTGCTCCCTTGTTTAATCTCTTTTATATTTCAAAAGAGATCAACTCAAAATATATCTTACATTAATCCTGCTTCACTCACATAGCAAAGATAACTCATTCCCAAGTAAGATTATGACTACAGGCATAGAGATTGGGATTTACAACACGTCCTTCTGGAGGACACAGTTCAATCCATAACAGGAACCCTGCTCTTTCTTATGAAATACTTTTTGACTCCTTGGGTATGAACCATAATATCTGCCCTAAAAATTAAAAATAAAGAAAATAACTACTTTTTCCAGTCTTAGAAGATCATATACAAATAAAATACTATGCAGACCAAATGAAAAAAAAAAAAAACCACATAGATGGACAAGGCAAAACCCCAAGGTGAATCACCAGCAAAACATTTTTTCAGGATTTAATGATAAAATGATTTTTCTGATATGCTAATCAAGTTATGTATAATATAGATAAATTAATACTAATTTAAACCATAAAAAAGATCTAATTGTACAATATTTACAAAATAGCACATATCAATGAATATGCAGTTGAACATTACATTTGCCAGATATAAGAATGTGAGTACAAAAATTGTCTTAACAAAAATATGAAGTGTAACCAAAAAAACCACTTGTTTTTTTAAACTAGGAAAAACACAACACAACGCACTGCTGTCGAGTCGGATCCTACTCACAGCAACCCCCCCTTGGGTTTCCGAGGCGGTATCACTACGGAAGTAGATTGCCCTACCTTCTTTCTGAGGAGTGTAGTCATAAAAATACTGGATATAGGTACATCTTATGTTTCAATCAACTTAAAAAATACTTCACATGTCACATGGAATACAGTATTGTTTTGTTAACAATATATGGGAAATGGTTCTTCAAAGAAACCCAAGGGTCACACAAATTGTATACTTAAGATCGCTATATCATAGGGGGTAAAAACAGGCTCCTTATCATTTTCAATTTTCATAATTTAGTAATCATCCCTTGATTTTATATTTATCATGGCATAACCGATTGATTCTAATTTTTACTAGTTTTCACAGTCTCTTCTTTGTCAAAGACAAATGTGGCCAGAGCAATTATTTTTAACATTCATTTTCGTTAATAACCATTTCAAATCTATAATTCAGTACTATAAGCTATAGCTTATGTTCCTAAAGCTAACTACATTTACAAAACTTTCTTTTGAGGACTATAAAAATGTATGTAAAAAAACATAAAATCAAAATATTAAACTGGAAACAAAAAATATTTAGAAAAATGTTTGCCTGAGCCTCAACAAAGGAGTCAGGAAGAATTGTGGTTTTACTGCAGAATGAAGTTACTAAGAACAGAGGGGGATAAGAAAGAATTAAACTTTAGAACTGACGTTCTTCTTAGATGCTCAACTTATTGCACATTTTAAAGAAACCAACGATTTATGTATATATAGATGCTACCATACAGAATAAGTATCTTTTTTATTGTCTTTCTTTTTTTGGCTTTTGGAGTAAAAATTGGTTATAATTTTTTTCTATTCCTACTTACATACTAAGATCTAAATGAAAGCTAAAATAAGCTGTTCATAATAAGAAAGCATGAATTATCAGCATTTCATATGACCTATTTTAGAATTTGGCCTACGTTATGAACCAGATGATGTAAAAAAAATATAAAATAAAAAATAAGAAAAAAGAACACCAATCTACTTTGACCATTCACTGTTCTTTTTTTAGTAGTGCTTAAGGTGGTATCATGTAAGTATGATAAGAAAGATAAAATCAATTGATCCAAGTATGCATAACAGTTTTCACAATAGAACATACACATCTGTATCTATAAATACTAAATTAAATTCTAAGGATTCAAAAAAAATCTTGTGTAAACTTTTTCAGAACATTTTGTCATCTTTCTCAATATATCAATTTAGACCATTTGTACTTTTTTCTGTTTCTAGACAATTTAGCTGGCTGTTTTGAAAATTATTTTTTTAAAGTACAGTGTACTGAGTTATTTATGTCTATTATTCCATCATTTGTCATTCTGTAATTCTTTACTGATAAAAGTTTTGTGCCTGTTTTATAAGGAAAATATTCTATACATACATTTTTAAGATTGATAACATCTTTGTTATGAACAATGTTAATGATCTATCTCAGAACGTACTGTAGGATACAAAGACTACTGTCAGGTAAGAGTACATAAGAGACAACTGTATATACATGTGAGATTTATTATATTCACATGTAGACACACTCAGAAAAGCTAGTAATGTTCTGGCACTTAACACAAGCTCACTGTAATAAACAAATAGGATAGCTCTTGTTTCAGGTTAAGGATAAAAGGTATGAAAGGTCAACACCTCTGAATTTATCTCTAAGTTTTTTTGTTTTAGAAATATTGTGATGTTTTAGTAAAGACCAAACCAACTTGAATATTGGTCCCAGGTCAAATCTGATCATTCCAGTTCATTGATTCAATTGTAAAGAACTTCTACTTAAACATGAAGTTTATTATGACTTGAAGCAAAATCAGGAGGAAAATGATGAAGTAGTCTTTTTGTTGCAGAAAATAATCCGTGGTAGGTGTGCTTGAAACTAAATGATTTCGAAGAGTCATAATATTTCTACAAAAATAAACAATAAATGTTATAATCATTTGTCAAAAATGTCAGTATAGAATTCACAATTTGATATCATATGGTCATAAAACACTTAATTACATTACCTAGTTAAATCAATTACTACAACCTGAACAGAGAGCTGATTGTGCTATGTGAAGCCATTTTTAGGTCTTGTCTAAATCTATATGGCACCCTGCACTGAACATAATTATTAAAAGATAATGATGAAGAGACATACCACCCTTTTCTATATAACGGTGCTTTTAATACAATAAAAATTTTGCTTCTTAGTTGGCCCACTAATACTTCATAATTTTAAAAAAATAGGGGTGGAGGTAGGAAAAATTCTAAATTTTTCAGGAAGAATTAACACCACAGATTTTATGACATCTCTAACTTGAGGCTTGTCCTACAGGTATTTCATATTCTAACAAGAAATAACATGTTAATTTAGTCATAAAATGAGCCTACACTATCTCATGTCACCCTAAATGCTTTTGGCTAAAAGCAGCTGATTAGTGAAGACCGTTTCTTTTTCAGATATCTGCTAGTAAAGGGTTATACCAGTATAAACATAAAGAAAGGAGGCAAAACAAGCAAGTAGACTCATTAGTTTTAACAAAAATACGAGTTGTTCCTCGTTATTTGTGGATTTCATGTTTGCAAGTTCATCTAAGCTAAAATTTTGTTTGTAACTCCAAAATCAATAGTTGCAGCCCTTTCCTGGTTATTCATGGACATACTATTAAGGGCAAATACAAATTAGAAATAATAAAGGAAAAAAAAAAGGTAGAGGCTTTTCTTTGCAAGGAAGAAAAGGAAAAAACTTCCTTCTCCTTGTACAGAGCTCTGGTGGTGCGGTGGTTAAAGCATTTGGCTGCTACCCTATGGGAGGAAATAAGGCAAAGATTACAGCTTTGGAAGCTCTACAGGGCAGTTCTACTCTGCCCGGTGGGGTACCTATGAGCCAGAATCTTGGTTTGGTTTTTGGTTTCACTTTAGAAAATTTATCACTGTAAATTCTTTCTCTGCCTTTTTTGAAATGTATATAAATCTTTTTAAAGGCTAAATAAGCCCCTTGTCAATTTTATAACTTAGGTATGTTTCCTCAAGGACCTGGATGCCATCTCTTTGAAATGTCATCAGTCAATAAATAAAGTATTCCTATCCATCAGTTCCTGGGAGAATAACAATCTAACTTCAGCTGGCACTTGGCTCCAGCTGCAAACCTACCTCAAGTCATAAAGATAAGAGAAATTGGCAAACACAAGTTGCTATAACCAGGTAAATTTAGGATGAACACTGATGCTGTCAAGTCCTCTTCCTTGAGGACTAGTTATCCTTTATCTTGAGGACATGTATGAAATGAGTTGTATCTGCCTGGCTATATAAAAGGATAAAACTCCATTCTGTCTTTTCAATCTCTTTAATGGACTGTCTGTGATGTGAATCACATTCTGGCTTAATACTTATTCAAAAATAAAATTGTTTTCTTTTTCTTCTACATTTGTCGAGAATTTGTTTTGCTTGACAGATTTTGATTTTAACTATGCTTCTCCAACAATGCACATAGCAGTGAAAAGTTTAAGTCTCCTGACCTTCCGAGCTGAGGCTGAACAAAGGACACTCTACATTCTTAATATTTCAGCTCTCATACTGCAACCAAGAGTCCTTTTTTCAGTCTATTTAGTGCCATGTTTTTTGTATTTTTTGTGTTGTGTTGGTGATTTTGCTGCTTAAAATGGCTCCCAAGCATAGTGCTGATGTGCTTTCTTGTGTTCCTAAGTGCAAGAGAGCTGTGATGTGCTTTATAGAGAAAATACACTAGATCAGCTTTGTTCAGGCATGTGCTATGGTACTATTAGCAGTGAGTTCGGTGTTAATGAATCAATAATATATACATAAATTAAAGTGTCATAAAACAAGGTTATGTACTGAACAGCTGATGAAACTGCTGTGACTAGAGGATTGCAGAAACCTAGCCTGTATTTCTCTTGGGAGCAATGGTTCAGAATTTGCTAATTCAGTGTTTGTGGTGACTTTATAGAACATAACTACCACAAATAATGAGATTCAATTATAATTAAATTAGAAAATATTACTTGAGCACTTACTACATATAAGGGCTGATGACACGAAGATGCAGAGAGATGATTTCTGCTCTAGAGGAGCACACAGTCCAAGGGGGTAGACAGACACATATAATACCAATTCTGTAGTATGGGCCCTCAAAAGGAGTACTCACAGGGAGTTATGTAAACCAAGCTGAAGGATTAACCAACTCTACAGGATATGGGCGGGTGGTCAAATATGTTATGAAAGGGTCACACTGGAGTTAACTTCTGAAGGATAAACACAGATTTTCTTGATGGGTAAGGTGGGAGGAAAGGCATTCTAAGAAAGAGTATTCATTGTGGGCAAAGGTCCAGAGAGGGGAGAGAGGGCAGTATGTTCTAGAAGAAATAAGGAGTTTCATAGAACTAGAGGGTATGGGGCAGGTGCAGGAGAATGACAGGAGATGAGAAAATAAGAGCTAAATATAAGTCATAAGGTCTCCATGAGCAAAGAAAAACATTTATTTATTTTAAATCTCCCTGAACATCTAGCACCGAATGCTGAATATAAAAAAGGAGGTGGGCTAATATTGAAAACAAAAAAAAACCCTGATATTGTAATGAAAGGCAAGCAATCTGAATTCAGCTAGCATTAGCAATGTAGCAGTCAGGACTCCTTCCCTAAGGAACCTTCCTACCTGTGACAAATTGTTGGACAGGGAGGTGTGTGGAGGGAAGGATCACAATGGGAGGACTGCGTGGCCTCAGGGCAGTGACTATCTCCTCAGTAACAGAACTATTTCAATGTTTCAACAGCTGGTGCATTTCAGTTAACTATTAGTCCTGTACAAAGGGGACTTTGTTAACTGATTTTCCCATAAACAACCCCATACCACACCCAGTCCAGGTACATTTCTTAGCCTGCTAAAAGCAAAAAGAAAGAGAATCCAGTTCTACCTTCAGAGTGCCACTGCCCAATAATTCAGGGTTATAATAAATAAATAAATAAAGTCCTTTCAACATGCACATGTTAGGGAATTCTGTGATTCCGTCATCAGGTAATAGAAGCTAAGGTTCTATTTTAGTTTAGCAATGTTATAAAAACATCAAATGTGCATATGATTTCCTATGTAACAAGAATGTTAACTACTATACTTTCAATGTCAATTATATATTGTTACCTTTTAATTTCTTCCTGTGTTTGTTTTACAGATTCGATGGAACTTTGAATGTCTCCCAGTTCTATCCCTTTCTTTCTTCTTGTATTTGGTTTCAATGATTGAGCTAAAGAGACATTTAGAATGAAGTTGAGGAAAACAGTGAACATATTTAATCATAAACACAATTTACATAACCAACTAATTCCTGTGTTATAAAAATTTTCCTGGGTATTATTTCCATAAATTAGAGATTAGGATAATAATACAAATACTCTACATTTTTGAAGTTTCAAATACATCATTTTAAATCCAGAACACTATGAACATATTTAGAACAACCACAAATTAAATTTTAGATAGCATCAGTTTTAATGTTTTACTAATTAAAATAGACAAAAATAATTCATTAAAAGAAAAATACTTGTTTGGGGAAGGTACTACTCTCTTCTGCTCCTTGCCCACTTGCCTATTTCTGAAGAAGTCAGCTTTTTGAAACTTTTCTTCAGTTTTTTATTATGTTACATCTATCCAACCTTGAAAACTTAGTCAATTTTGATACTTGGCCCATATAGTTTTATTGCCAACCAGTAAGGCAGACTGACTTTTTCAAATCCTTTTTCACAGTCCTTCTTTCATTACATTTCTGCTCAGATTTTACTTAACTTGTCTACAAGTCTCAGGTTTCTCCTTTATAAAATAGTGATTATAATATACAAATTTCACATGGTTCTCATAAAATGTGTTTAACATATAATCTGACACAATCATGTGGCCTAACACACTTTATGTAATATAGTTAAGTGGATTAGAGTGTGGATTTAGGAGCCCCACCCCTACCCACAAAGGAGCTCTGGTAGTGTAATGCTTAAGGCATTTGGCTGCTAACCAGAAGGTTGGTGGTTCAAATTCACCAGCTGCTCCACAACAGGAAGATGAGGCAATCGACTTCTAGTAGGCAATCTACTTCCGTAGAAATACCATCTTGGAAACCCAAGAAGGGGTCGCTATAAGTTGGGACTGACTTGAGGGCAGTGAGTAAAGATTTACAACCTTGCAAACCCAATGGGGGTTGCTTTGAGTGGGAACCAACTTGAGGGCAGTGGGTTTGGTTTTGGTTTCTCCACCCCCAAGCCCCCAGAATGCTATACCAAACCAAACCAAACCCACTGCCATCAAGTTGATTAGATTCATAGAGACCCCTCCTTGGGTTTCCGAGGCTGTATCATTATGGAAGTAAATTGCCCAATCTTCTTTCTGAGGAGTGGCTGGTGAGTTTGAACTAATAGCCTTCTGGTTAACAGTCAACTGCCTTAGGCACTACGCCACCAGAGTTCTCCAGAATACTATAATCCATTAGAAATCCTAATTATTTATCAGAGTTCCATTAAGAACCATCTCTGGCTACCTCAAACAAAATTGAGCTTTCTCTCCTTTACCATTGGCCATCTGCAAATTTATCATTTATTTACCTCTAGTGTTACGGGTTTGACTCGACGGCACATGACAACAACAACAACAACAGTGTTACCTGTGTACATAAAAATGGAGCTCTTCAGCTTAGTGTAAGCTTAGTAGGGACTATGGCTTTAAGTCTTTTATTTTCTCATAATGTCTAACACATTATTTTAATCTTTTTTTGATCATGTATCAGTGTGGGTCAAAGTAGTTCACACATTATCTGACTTGAACAAGAATGGCAAATTTTTTAACCTAGTAGTTCATAATGTTGACATAGTTATATATTTATTTGTCTGTGACTTTTAACACTATTAAGGCACCAGAAGGTTGGTGGTTCAAACCTATCAGCCACTCCTCAGAAGGAAAACTGGGCAATCTACTTCCGTAGTGATACTGCCTTGGAAACCCAAGGAGGGGTCACTATGAGTTGAACTGACTTGATGGCATTGAGTTTGGTTTTTTGTTTTGTTTTGTTTTAAACACTACAGTACTTCATTCTGGTAACAACAATTTTTCTGAAGCCTAGAACCGAGTACATAGTTCAAGAATGCTTTCTGAATTGAATCTAGGGAACCATCAACAGTTTTTAAGAAGCTAACAATGTTTAAAAACTACTACTACTGTGTGCTTCATGATTTGCATGTTTTCCCTTATTTTCTATCCTCTCATGCCTTTAGCTTGTGGCCTGGTCTCAGACTTACTTACAACCTAAAATAGCTCTTGGATCTACTGCTGCTCTCACCAAAACTATTACATATCTTCTTGAGTTACTATGAAAGATCATTTTCATATATCAAACATAATGTAATTATCTTTTTAAAAAATCAAGACTCTTATAGTGAACAATGTACAGTATATATTTTTACTTTCACTTCCAGATGAATCCTGGATATCAGGTTCTGGGGAGGAATAGCCTTTCACCACTTTCTTCTGTTGCCTAGTTGGTTTATGTTTCATTTTTGGGACACTAACCTGAAAAAAAAAATTTTACACATTATGGTAGTTTTCACTGTATTTTTAAATTAAAGATCAATGTAGTACAACTCTTCAAATTGATTGTTCATGGGCTCTATATTCAGGAAAAATCAAAAAATTAACAGTCTAGTTAAAACTTAATGTGTGATGTGATACATTTATGCAATCAAATTATTTTATTTAATTTTAACAGGAAACAAATTTAGTACAAACATCAAAAATATCAAAAGTACACAATGAAGAGTTTTGCTCGCATTCCTGCCCTCTTCTCCACCCTGTCTTTCCCCACTAAATATGTAATTACTGCTATTAGGCTGTATGGTTGTGATATTTTTATGCATACACAAGCAAATATGAAAATATATCCTCCCTTGCTTTTCTAATTACACTAGTTAGTACTTCCTGTAGAACATTAAATAATGTTGTTTGAGCATCTTTTTCCCAACTCTGGGTTTTCAATCAAATTATTTCCTTACTTGTAATAGTATCTGGATAATGTAGAGAGCATGTGGAAATACTATCATTTTTTTTTAATACTATCATTTTTAAGAGCATTATTTAAACTTACTAAAATCTTTTAAATCATGCACAAAATTCAAAAGTATATCAAAACATCAACTTCAAATTTGGTTTTGAAGAACAGACTTTTGACTCTATTCTATAAATAGGTTTGCAATTCTGGAAATCAGTCCTAAATTTAAATTTAAATTTAAAAACCTAAATGCAAGAGAAGAGGACTAGAATCAGAATAGGAAGATATGTGTATGTTTAGCTGGGAACTGGTAGTCCTAAGTCTTTAACTCTGTTCTTACCTATTTACTATTCTAAACAGGAATTATCCCTAATTACTTACTCCTTGAAATTAAAATTATTTTGAAAAATCTTATTCATGTGTTTGAAAATAAAATAAAATTTCTATAATATACAACAAGCTGGCAGGATCTGGATTCAGTCTATATTGTGCCTTTCTACTTGTTAAATGACACACAGGTAGAATTAGATCCAAGATCAATTCCCTAAGTGGGCTACACCAGAAATTAAACTATGCCTTCTCAATATCTTTTTGAAACTTTTTGAGGTAGGAAATGTCTTGTGCGCCAAAATAATTGAGGGGAAAAAAAAAAAAACTATTTCATAATCAGGGTTCAACTACTGAGTATACTTGTGACTTAGAATACAATAAATTAGAATTATTGTAGTGATAGTACAGTATGACCTAGTGTACTAGTGCACTAGTGCAGCTCTGCAGCCAGAGTACCTGGGTTTGAATCCTTCTCTATCACTTATTGGCCTGACCCTGAGCAAGTTACTCAATAAGTCTAGCCTTTGGTTACTATATCTGCAAAATGTACATAATAATATCAGTGCTCACAGGGCTAGTGAGAACATTAAAATAATCAATAGATATAAAACATGTAGAACAGTTCTCTATATTTGCTATATAATTGTTAGTCATTATCATTGCTTCTATTACTACTACATTTCATAGTACAAATGGGTAACAGGGTTAATGAGAATTTCCTACCCATCTGTTGAACCTCTTGGATAGAATTTTTCTCATAACCTATTACCAAGCAGCCCCTGAACACAGGAGACTCTCAAGAGAGGTTAGCGAACAAATAAATGACCAAAATAAGTGAGTTAATTAATCTACTAAGTAGAATTATTAAGAAGAATTTTCAATTTTGAGTTGAAAAAACAAATTTACACATTCTAGTTATTTTTCTTTTCATTATTCTTTTCATGTTTCATTCTTGAATGAAAAAATTAAATCAGACCTCTGAGGACTTAGAAAAATTAGAAAAGAAATAGTACTGTAAATATTCAAGTCCTAGAGATACAAATTTTTTCTACATGTAGAATTCAAATCTCCATTGTCCTGTAAAATATATATTACTCTATAAAGTAGATTTAAATGGGAGACTGATGAAAATTGGTGAGAAGATTATTTAAGATGATAAAGGGAGTCAGCAATACAACTAGGGATATACAAAGATTTATTGTGATTGGTAAACTCTTCCTAAATGCAGATGACTTGTGTGTCTCTATTATGTTAGAATTGTTAAAAGAAGAAACAAATTTGAAATGTTTGTTGCCAAAGATTCTAATGACTTAACAAATTTATGTGCCTAATGGATCTAATTACTTCTTTTATTACAAACCATTGGAGTGCGATGTTTCACTTTGGTCTGGATAACACCATCTTTTTCAAACTGTATCATATCATTAAGGGGGTCCCATGGTCGGGTACTACATAAATGAAAAAGAGTAATATTAGTTTGATAATTAATAACATAATTCAAAAACTTTCTATTTTATATTGTATTTTCATTAATAATAATAAACGTAGCTCTAAGGTTAAGACTTGTCCATATTTAGTCTATTGATCCTCAGCCTATTTTACAGGGTACCTATTATCATGGAGTCAAGTTTACCATGAATGGAACATCAAGTTTAAAATCTCACACTAATATACACTGCTGAATAAAAAAAAATAATAATAATTCTTGAAATATAAGCAGTAAACTATGCCAACATACTGTTTGTAATAAAATCTTTTCAATTACTTACTCTGCAAACCTGTAATGCCATTCTCCTGTGAGTAGATCAAGTTCGAATAACTTGCAACTCCACTCTTCATTTTTTGTTTTCCTATCTCTAGCTGCTTGTCTTTGAGCTTCTTCTAAAACATACTTCTCTTGAGTAGCTTCAGTTTGGTCTTTGGCATTTATGGCTCTAGTTACTCGCTGCCAGAGTCTAAGACACGTACAAAAATACTATTAAAAAAGTGTATGTTTGTTACTTACCACAATCTATTTTTCTTTTTCTAAAGCAACAAAGAATCAAATCTCTATAGAATAGGCTTAAATCCCTTGGGAGAAAATGATGCTCACATGGGTTTCTGGCTTTGACAAAGGTTATGCTCAGATGGTCAGGAATGTGTCAAGATAAAAACAAAAACAAAAACACAACAAAAAGAACCTGTTGTTATGTGCTATTGAGTCAGACCTGACGCATAGTGACCCCTCCTTGGATTTCTGAGGCTCACTACGGAAGGAGATTGCCCAACCTTCCTTCTGAGGAGTGGCTGGTGGGTTTGAACCACCAGCTTTCTGGTTAGCCGTCAAGTGCCTTAGGCACTACACTACCAGAGCTCCCATAGTGCCCTGTATAGGGAGGTACTCACTAGTGAAGTGAGGACCAGTTTTTTTCTTGGCAAGAGAAAGGTATTACAGGGGTTCTTTAACATACGGCAGTGAATGTTGATAAGCTGACAGAAATATCATGAACGTGGGGTGCAAGATTCTCTATTTTTAACAAGCTGTCCCCCGCACATGATTCTTATGCACACCAAGGTTTAAGATCCACTGACTTCATGACGATCCATTAGTGTAATGCAGTGCTCTCAACCCTAGATGCAAAAATTATCAGGGAATTTTAAAATCAGAATTCATGTAATGGTATTTTAAAAAAAATTTAATGCGTCCCATTTGATTCTAATGTGCAGCCAGTGTTGAGAAGCACTGATTTAACATTAAAGACCACTGAGGTAAAATGACTGTCTTTACTCTAGTTTTTTTCTTCAGTTAAAAAAAAAAAAAAAAAAAGTGTGTGCGTGTGTACCCACATATGGGGGGATGATGGGTAAAGCAATTTGACTGCTAACCAGAAGGTTGGGGGTTCAAACCCACCAGCTGCTCCATGGGAGAAAGATGAAGCACTCTACTTCTGTAAAGATTTACAGCCTTGGAAACCCAATGGGGGGTCGCTATGAGTCGAAATCCACTCGATGGCAGTGAGTTTGGTTTTGGTTTATATACACACATACTTACCTACCTATAATCCACCCATCTGGGAATAAACCATGTGGAGATTGAAGGAACAAAGGCTTTGGATTCAGACAGACTTGGGTTGAATCTTGGATCTGCCACTTTGTAGCTACTGAATGTAAAGTAACAACCTGTCTGAGCCTTGTTTTCCTCATCTTTAAAATGTGCTGAATTCCAAACAATGGACAGGCTTACAAAGTGAATACCAAGGAGGAAAGCACTCCTTAGAACAATCAACCACATAGACCAAAAGGGTAACATCTGCCCAGAAACAAAGCTCAGAAGACAGAGGGGGCAGGAAAGAAGGACAATGGAAACGGGGAACCCAGGGAGGAAGTGGAAGGGGTGCTGTTATACTGTGGGGATTGTAATCAATGTCATGAAACAAAATGTATACAAATTGCTGAATGGAAAACTAATTTTCTCTGTAAACTTTCACACAAATCATAAAAAAAAATGTTAAAAAGAAAGTTTTTTTTAAAAGTTTACCATTGTGTATATCCCATAAAGACATATACTGACAACTCTTTATTTAGATGAGTTCTGTTCAATTAATCTAAAAAAAATCCAAAAAAACTTTCCATTATTCATGAGTCTATATATACAAATCAATTTAAATGTTCTGATGAAATTTGCTAGTCTTTAAACTGTTACAGAATGCGTGATTGAACTGAGCAGTAAATGTTGTTGTTGTTAAGTGC